CCCAGCTAGTGTGTGTGTCCCCCCCCTCCCTCCCCCCTCCACCCGGAAACTACAAAGGTTGTGTGTGGGGTGTGGGGGGGGGGACAGAGGTGTTAGTCTGTGTGTGGAGGAGGGATTGATGAAGGTGGGAGGGGGGGCGGTAGTGGATTGATGATACGGGGAGGGATGGGGGAGAGGGGGGTAAGGGGAGGGGTAACGGGAGGGGATTGTGGGAAAGGAAGTGTTTGTGGTCTCTGACTATGTGAGGTACAAGTTTATGGTGGTGTATAAATGCTGACTGGGTCGTGTACTGCATATCTGTACACTGCCCACACTTGCCACCTCTTGTTGTTGTTACCATGGCTGTTGTAGATGTTGTTGTTGTAACCATACCTTTTATAGTTGTAGATGTTGTTGTTGTTAGTGTAGGTTTAAGAGTTTGGCAGTAATGTGGATCTTATTAGTTCAGTAAAGTTCAAAAAAAAACTCTCATGGCTAATGGAAGTGAATGGTGGTGGTGTGTTGACTGCTTAAATAAACTTAGCTGCTCTATTATGTACGTGACAAGTAGTAGTAGTAGTAGTAGTAATAGTTATGAGAAGCAAGTCATTACACCTGCATTACCTGGCTCTCCCTCCACCTTACCTGGCCAGGGGTCGCACGCGTGACTGTTTACGAAGAGAAACCAAACTTAGACACGTCAGAGAGTTATATACCAGGTGTGTGTGTGTGTGTGTGTGTGTGTGTGTGTGTGTGTGTGTGTGTGTGTGTGTGTGTGTACTTGTCTGTCTGTTTATGCTGTTGTCTTTTGTCCTGTTTTCTGTTCTTTTCTTTTTATAATATTTTAATTTATTTTTCTTCATCCACGTTATTTGCTTTCCTCCTCTTTCTGTTCTTTCTTCTTCGTGTTCTTTCTCTTCCCTCTGTTCTCTATTTCCTGTTCTCCCCTTTCTTTCACTTTCTCTTCTCCTATTCCTCCCGTTTTCCGCTTCTTTATCTTCCCCTGTAGGTTCTTCCTCTTTCTCCACTTGGCTGAGGTGTCGTTCTTGTCGTGGTTCAGATAATCCCTGGGTGGCGGTAATGGCTCCCTTGTTGACAGCACCTACAGCAATGTCACCAGTTGTTGATTATTTTTCTTCCAGCAACTTTTAACCCTTTGAAGACGATGATTTAACCCTTTGAAGACGATGATTTAACCCTTTGAAGACGATGATTTAACCCTTTGAAGACGATGATTTAACCCTTTGAAGACGATGATTTAACCCTTTGAAGACGATGATTTAACCCTTTGAGACGATGGGTTGCTTGCCCCGAAGACGATGATTTAACCTTTGAGGACTTTGGTTAACCCTTTTGAGACGATGATTTAACCCTTTGAGACGATGATTTAACCCTTTGAGACGATGATTTAACCCTTTGAGACTATGATTTAACCCTTTGAGACGATGATTTAACCTATTTGAGACGATGATTTAACCCTTTGAGACGATGATTTAACCTATTTGAGACGATGATTTAACCCTTTGAGACGATGATTTAACCCTTTGAGACTATGATTTAACCCTTTGAAGACGATGATTTAACCCTTTGAAGACGATGATTTAACCCTTTGAAGACGATGATTTAACCCTTTATCTCCTGGAATAAGAGGCGATGGTAGGGTCAGTCAGGTCCTAAGTCAATCATACCCCAAGTCAGTCAGGCCCCAAGTCAGTCAGATCCCAAGTCAATCAGACCCCAAATCAGTCAGGCCCTAAGTCAGTCAGTCAGGTTCCAATTGACAAGTCTTAATCAGAGTTGTAATGTGATAGGCTAATGGGATGTCTGAGTGTTGATCTGATTGACTTTTTCTTTAGTTAGGAATAAAGTAAGATGGGTGTATTAACGGAGGGAGGGTGTAGTGTTGGGGTGTGTTGGAGGGTGTAGTGTTGGGGGTGTAGTGTTGGGGTGTGTTGGAGGTGTAGTGTTGGGGGTGTGTAGTGTTGGAGGTGGCGTGCTAGGGTGTGTTGGAGGGTGTAGTGCTGAAAGATTGTGTTGGAGGGTGTAGTGTTGGGGTGTAGTGTTGGGTGGCTTGCTAGGGTGTGTTGGAGGGTGTAGTGCTAGGGTGTATTTGGAGGTGTGGTGTTGGGAAGTGTAATGTTTGGCCAGGTGTTGTGTGCAGTGGCAGGTATCACATCTGGGGGGAGGTAAGGTGTGTGTGAGTGTGTGTGCTGGGTCCTCCCACACTCCTGCTGCCCTTCATTAACCTCTGTGTCGACAGGTAAAGGCCGTTGCCCCCCTCTATCCCTACCCCTCCCCCCCTCCCCCTCCCCCTCCCTCCCCCTCAACCCACCTCACTTCCTCAATATCAACACTGCCTTGCCTGCGTAGTGAGGTGTACCGTGTCGAGGGGCGTGATGTTGGTGTAGTGGGCGTGATATTGGTGGTGTGTGGGCGTGATGGTGGTGTGTAGTGGGCGTGATGGTGGTGTGGTGGGCGTGATGGTGGTGTGTAGTGGGCGTGACGGTGATGGTCATGGTAGTAACGGTGTTGATAATGAGGATAAGTAATGGTAATAATAATGATGATGGTGGTAGTGGTGGTTATGGCGAAAGTGATAGGAATGGTGGTAGTGGTAGGAGTGGTAGTAGGAATATTGGTAATGGTGATACTGGTACGTGTGGGAGGGGATCGTTGTAGTAGGAATGGTGGTAATAATAGTAGGAATGATGGTAATGATAGTAGGAATGATGGTAATGATAGTAGGAATGGTGGTAATGATAGTAGGAATGGTGGTAATGATAGTAAGGAATGAGGTGGTAATGATAGTAGGAATGGTGGTAATGGTGATGGGTTTTAATTTTTGTGAGGGGGGTTACGACGGGTGGTGTGTGAGGTGTTGGTGGTAATTATGATCGGTGCAGGTAACAGCTCTTGGCTTAATGACATGGTTCTTATTTATGGTCAGTCATTAGTGTGTGTGTGTGTGTGTGTGTGTGTGTGTGTGTGTGTGTGTGATGACAGGTTAAGGCTCCCCCTCCCTCATAGCCTGGTTCCCCTTCTCTCATAGCCTGGTTCCCCCTCCCTCATAGCCTGGTTCCCCTTCTCTCATAGCCTGGTTCCCCCTCCCTCATAGCCTGGCTCCCCTCCCTCATCGTGGTGTTGGAGGGGATGTTGGTGATGACGTTAGTGTTGGCGATGGTGGTGGTGGTGGTGGTGGTGGGGGATTAGGGGAGATAGGAGGGAAGGGTAGGCGAGGGGAGGGAAGAGGAGAAAGGAGAGGAGGGAAGGGGGGGGGAGAGGAGGGGAGGGGAGAGAGGAGGGCTAGGAGAGAGTGTTAGTTACTCATCACCTTGGCACAACACCTGGGAAGGGTGTCTGTGTGTGTGTCCCTCCCTCACCCCCACACCCCCCCTCACCCCCACCCCCCCCTTGGTAGACACTACACCCCACCACCCATGAATGAACGTGGTCTATTTATGTTGTCCTGTTCCCCTGCCACGCCCACATTCACCAACCCACACCCACGTCTCCACATTCACACCCATAAGCTCAAACCCTTCAACCCACACCCCACACCCACTCGTATCACCCCCACATTCACACCTACACTCTTCAACCCACACCCACCCGCCCACACTCACGCCCACCCGCCCACACTCACGCCCACCTGCCCCCAGAAGAACAGGTGTGAAGACCGGTATAAGGTATTGTAATTTTAAGGAGGGAAGGTGTCTTGATGGTTGAGTCTTAATATGGTTGACAACTGTATCTGATAATTTCAATGTGTAGGGTAAGGGTTCAGAGATGTGCTGCAGCTGGTTATTATTATTATTATTATTATTATTATTATTATTATTATTATTATTATTATTATTATTATTATTATTATTATTATTATTATGTGTACCGCCAAAGTAAGATGGAGTTTAAACGATCATTAACCAGAAAGAAACAGCTGGCTACCTCCTGGCCAACTGACTTTAAAGAAGAAAATGAGGAAATCACATTATATAGTAAACTGCACCTAGCAACTCAACTACGCCTTTTATTAACCATGACAACGTCTTTACCAACACACACACACAGGCGTGTAACCCACGGTGTAGCGGGGCGCACGTGTGACCCAGGGTGTCGCAGGGCAGGCGTGTGACCCAGGGTGTCGCAGGGCAGGCGTGTGACCCAGGGTGTCGCAGGGCAGGCGTGTGACCCAGAAGAGGGTGGTGTAGCAGGGCGGCGTGTGACCCAGGTGTCGCAGGAGCAGGCGTGTGACAGAGGTGTAGCAGGGCAGGCGTGTGACCCAGGTTGTCATGGAGCAGACGTGTGACCCAGGGTGTGTCGCAGGGGCAGGCGTGCGGCCCCAGGGTGTAGCAGGGCAGGCGTGTGACCCAGGGTGTAGCAGGGCAGGCGTGTGACCCAAGTTAGCAGAGGGCAGGCGTGTGACCCAGAGGTGTAGCCAGGGCAGGCGTGTGACCCAGGGTGCTGGAGTCATACGTGTGACCCAGGGTGTGTCGCAGGGCAGGCGTGGCGACCCCGGGGTGTAGCAGGTCAGACGTGTGACCCAGGGTGTCGCAGGGCAGGCGTGTGACCCAAGTGTCCTTGGGGGCAGGCGTGGCAGTTGTCAGATTGGGTACAGCAGGGAGGGTGAGGTTGGTGACGTAACAGTAGGCCATTGTGTACGTGTGTGTGTGTGTAGTGGTCCAGCCTGCGGGCAGCCCCAGGTGCGTGCGCGCGTGCGTGAATGTGTGTGAGTGCGTGCGTGTCGGTGGCAGGCGGTGCGGGTGCTGAGGGCGCAGTCGCCGGAAGTGTGGGAAGCAGGAGGTGGTGGGGCGGTGTGTGTGGCCTTCGTCAGTAGTGGCAGAACCCTCAGGCAGGAGAGTTAGTCCCCAGTGCCTGTCCCACCTCGCTCACCATCACACACACTCTTATGTAACACTTCGCTCATCCGCTAAGAAAAAATACAAACGAGTGATACTTGTTTGTGGTAATTATAAGTGTGTGAGTGTGTTGGGGTGATCTAGTGCGTCTTACTGGTGCCCCCGCCCACCAACTCACGCACTTCTGAGACAAGTGTTAGTCGCCAACACTTACATTAACTAAAAGTGTGATTTGTTGTTTTTTTATCAATATATTACCGACTTAATGTGTCAGTGATATTGTTGATGCGTTTCTAACACTTGAAATAAATATTGAAAAGAAAGTAAGTGATATACGGTGTTTGTTAATCTGTGCCTCTGTACAAGACCCTCGGTGAGGTTATGCGTGGCAAGAAGTGCGAGGCCAGCCAAAGCTAACCTCTCCCTCAGGGCCACTTGGTGAGAGGTAGATAGCCTCCTCCTCCTCCTCCCCTGGCTGCTGCACAACCCCCCCAGGCCGATAGAACTCCTGGCGCCTGAAGGTGGTGAGGACGGAGGCGGTGTTGTATACAGTAATAGTGTTGGAAGTGATCCACGCCTCACAGTAACCCCGTGTCTGGCACCCACCATGTCTGCCGTCAGTCTACACAGTGAGGTGAAGGAGGAACCCCGTGTGTCCCCCCTCCCCTTATGTCCAGGATAATACCGGATGTTGGTATGGTGGTGTAGGGGTGTTGAGTGTTGATGTACCACCCAATACACCTACACAGGACTGTAAAGAGTGTAGAGTGGAGTGTAGTTGGTTCCTCTACGTTGTATTAGACTGTATTTCTTAATAGTTATGTGGATACAGGAATACATAATGACACTAAATATATGATAATATTAATTGATGTCATTGATGTCACTGTAAGACATAAACATTAGCAAACATTTTCTCTTGGCTGTAAATTATATTAAAAGTTTACATTAAATATCTAAATTAACACAAACATTCACATTGCAATTATACCCGTTCTTGTCAGGTCAGGTCAGGTTAGGTCTAAATATGTCATAAGAAACGAGAAGACTAATCACCGTAACTACATAACCAGGTTGTTTCTGTCCCTGTTACCAGAGATATAATTAATCCCATGTCAGATTTATATGTATAATTCTCTTAGTGTAATGCTGGTAATTAATCCCAGGTAGGAATTAATTACACAGGTATCATGGTACTGTGTATTGGGTATTAGACTCATGTGTATCAGTCATAGCTCAGTCATAGGTCAATCATAGCTCAGTCATAGGTCAGTCATAGCTCAGTCATAGGTCAATCATAGCTCAGTCATAGGTCAATCATAGCTCAGTCATAGCTCAGTCATAGCTCAGTCATAGCTCAGTCATAGCTCAGTCATAGCTCAGTCATAGGTCAATTATAGCTCAGTCATAGGTCAATCATAGCTCAGTCATAGGTCAGTCATAGCTCAGTCATAGCTCAGTCATAGGTCAATCATAGCTCAGTCATAGGTCAATTATAGCTCAGTCATAGGTAAATCATAGCTCAATCATAGGTTAATTATAGCTCAGTCATAGGTCAATCAAAGCTCAGTCATAGGTCAATCATAGCTCAGTCATAGGTCAGTCATAGCTCAGTCATAGGTCAATCATAGCTCAGTCATAGGTCAGTCATGGCTCAGTCATAGCTCAGTCATAGGTCAATCATAGCTCAGTCATAGGTCAGTCTGTAGCTCAGTCATAGCTCAGTCATAGGTCAATTATAGCTCGGTCATAGGTAAATCATAAGCTCAATCATAGGTCTCAATCATAGTCATAGGTCAATCATAGCTCAGTCATAGGTCAATCATAGCTCAGTCATAGGTCAGTCATAGCTCAGTCATAGGTCAATCATAGCTCAGTCATAGGTCAGTCATAGCTCAGTCATAGGTCAATCATAGCTCAGTCATAGGTCAATTATAGCTCAGTCATAGGTCAATCATAGCTCAGTCATAGGTCAATCAAAGCTCAGTCATAGGTCAATCAAAGCTCAGTCATAGGTTAATTATAGCTCAGTCATAGGTCAATCATAGCTCAGTCATAGGTCAATTATAGCTCAGTCATAGGTCAATTATAGCTCAGTCCCTCACTATCATGTTAAAAGGTCCAAAGGGCAGTAGTGTGGAGGCAGGACAACATTAAGGATGTCTCGTTGACCTCTCGGATATTTGAGGAGGTTTCGTGACCCTGGTGGTGATGGCTCGTCCCTAGGGAGGTGTTGGCAGAAGGAGGGCACGGCCGGGTGACTAGCAGGATATTTGCAGGACGTGTAAGGGAAGTGTTTGTGTCGTTCCTAAGGATGGTGGAGGGGTAGAGGGAGGGCATGCCTAGACCAGTAGGATATCTGAATAAGGAGGAGGAGGAGGGTGTCTCTGGATGACTGTAGGAGTAGTAGTAGGAGTCGTAGCAGAAGAACCAGTAGATATTGAGAGGCTGGGTCGTGAAGGACTCCCACTAGTGAAGGGGGAGATCAATGGTTGGCCCTCGCTCCTTCTCGCCCTCCTTCTCGCCCTCCTTCTCGCCCTCCTTCTCGCCCTCCTTCTCGCCCTCCATCTCGCCCTCCTTCTCCCTCCATCCAGGCAACGTCTCTCAAAGCTCAGCTGATGGAGAAGTTGTGGGCCTCCTCTAGTGCTCCTGATGTAACGGGAGG